TCCATGCCTGGTGAAGTTGACTTGCTGGTCTGTATTGGAGGTGTGTATTGGCACAACTGGAATTTTTTTCTACCACTTGATGTCCTCAGACATTTGGCTAACAGTAGTTCAACCCGCATTCTCTGAGCCCAGGTCATCCAGGACCCACCCCCCCCCTCACCTGTGACTGGATCGTAAAATGAGAAGCAGCGGGTGCCTCCATCTTTTTACCTTTCTCTGGATTATATTGGAGATGTAGACTCTTTGTCCACGCCTGGTAGACTTGACACGAAGGGCTGGCCGGCATTTTTTTCAACTTCCTCTGACCACGGGTCCATGTTAAGTCATGGAATCAGCGACTCGACACAGTGTTAATAAAGTTCTGAAATTCAACGAGAACATATAGAATTGCTTCAATGTATAATTTTTCACTTTGTTGCTTTTTAGTAAGCACAGATATCTATCTTCAAGGGCCACGTGCAATGCCGAGAGGCCTCACGCGACCCCTGGGCCACCAGTCAGCACCATGGATGTAGCGTCTTGGCTGGTAGACCCTAGCTGGGAGTATTGGTATCGAGGAGGGAAGGGGGACAGCTCGGGGGCCCCTTAGCGATGATCAGTCCATCGTAGCCGGGAGGATTACATAGAAAACGCCGCCAATAGACTCATCTTCGCTCATCCAGAACCATCCACTCCATCCGTCCCGTCTGCTCTTCACCGAGATGGTTTAAAGTCATCTCTCTCCATTAACTTCACGCAATCCTATCCATTATTCAGCCTCCTGTCCCTTCAAATCGCTGTCAAGTGCGAAAAACTGAACCTCGTCACTTCTTGTAAGCTGACAGCGACCTGAAAGCAGAGATGATATCAAGAACACGGGTGTATGTGGAGAGCCTCATCCCAGATTCTCTGCTAACTACCTCCATAGAGACAATGTGTGGAATCTCCGGGAGGGATCTGACTCCTCACCGCTCTATCTAGAAAAAAAAATTGTTTTTTGAGATACATTTTAACACCTCTGAGCCTTTCCACGCACATGACCTTCAATGGTCTCCCAGTCTTAGTCCATAGGGTTCAATATTAGGCGGCCGGCCTTTCCACGCACATGACCTGCAATCTCCTTCCAGTCTTAGTCCGTAGGGTTCAATATTGGGCAGCTGGCCTTTCCACGCACTTGACCTTCAATGGCCTCCCAGTCTTCATGCATAGGGTTCAATATTGAGTTGGCCGGCCTTCCTACACACATGACCTTCAATGGCCTCCCAGTCTTCATCCGTAGGGTTCAATATTGAGTTGGCCGGCCTTCCCACGCACATGACCTTTCATGGCACCTCCCAGTCTCAGTCCGTAGGGTTCAATATTGAGTTGGCCCCGCCCTTTCCACGCACATGACCTTTATTGGCCTCCCAGTCTTAGTCCGTAGGGTTCAATATTGAGTTGGCCCCGCCCTTTCCACGCACATGACCTTTAATGGCCCCCCAGTCTTAGTCGGTAGGGTTCAATATTGAGTTGGCCCCGCCCTTTCCACGCACATGACCTTTAATGGCCTCCCAGTCTTAGTCCGTAGAGTTCAATATTGAGTTGGCCCCGCCCTTTCCACACACATGACCTTTAATGGCCTCCCAGTCTTAGTCCGTAGGGTTCAATATTGAGTTGGCCCCGCCATTTGCAGCTATAACAGCTTCAGCTCTTCTGGGAAGGCCGTCCACAAGGTTTAGGAGGGTGTCTATGGGAAGGTTGGACCATTCTTCCAGAAGCACATTTGTCAGGTCAGGCACTGATGTCGGGGGAGGGGGCCTGGCTTGCAGTCTCCGCTCTAATTCATCCCAAAGGTGTTCTATGGGGTTGAGGTCAGGACTCTGTGCAGGACAGTCAAGTTCCTCCACCCCAAACTGGCTCCTCCATGTCTTTATGGACCTTGCTTTGTGCACTGGTGCGCAGTCATGTTGGAACAGGAAGGGGCCATCCCCAAACTCTCCCACAAAGTTGGGGGCATGAAATTGTCCAAAATGTCGTCCCTTCAATGGAACTAGGGGGCCAAGTCCAACCCCTGAGGAACAACCCCACACCATAATCCCCCCTCCACCAAACTTTACACTTGGCACAATGCAGTCGGGCAAGTACCATTCTCCTGGCCACCGCCAAACCCAGACACGTCCATCAGATGGCCAGACAGAGAAGCGTGATTGGTCCCTCCAGAGAACATGTTTCCTCTGCTCTAGAGTCCAGTGGCGGCGTGCTTTACACCACGGCATCCGACGCTTTGCATTGCACTTGGTGATGGAAGGCTTGGATGCAGCTGCTCAGCCATGGAAACCCATTCCATGAAGCTCTCTACGCACTGTTGTTGGGCTCATCTGAAGGCCACACCAAGTTTGGAGGTCTTTAGCTATTGACTCTGCAGACAGTTGGTGACTTCTGTGCACTGTGCGCTTCAGCATGCGCTGACCCCGCTCTGTCATGTGACGTGGCCTACCACTTGGTGGCTGAGTGGCTGTTGTTCCCAGTGGCTTCCACTTTGTTATAATCCCACTAACAGTTGAGCAGAAAACGTCCTCGGCACCAAGCGTTTACGGTAACGCACATGCACTATAAACGCACCATAGGTGAACGCAAGAGACGCCCCCTACCGTCTCTGCCTGCGTGTGACCGCGCTGTAAACGCACCATAGGTGACCGCAAGAGTCGCCCCCCCTCCCCCCCTGCTCTGCTGACTGCGGGAAGATTTGTTCTGTTCCTCCAGATGGTCCCTGGCTGTGCAGTCACTGGATTGTGATGCGTTCTGTCATGTGATGTGCGCCGAGCGCGGCTCTTCTGGTAATCGGGGAGACCCACAGGGGCTGATTACCATCCTCTCCTCTCCTCTCCTCTCACGCACCGACACATTCCCATTCCTGCCGGAGTCAGCTGACACCTCCCTGCAAACACACAAAACATTGATTTCCCAAATAGAGAAAAAACAAAAAAAACCTTCCGTGTCCCCGTCTACACGCCCGCGCCCCGGAGCCCCAACCGGCGCATTCATTAATATCTTCCTGAAACCATTTGTACAAATGTGCCGAACGTTTACCGTCCTTCAGCCGGGACTGAGACCAGAGCTGCGGTGTGAGCGCTCCGCGTATACATACTGTACCCAGAAATACCAGGAAATACCCCTCCCCCACACAGTATATACCTGCAAAATACAGCAAACACACAATCCATCATTATTATTATTATATACAGGATTTATATATTATTATTCCCGGGACCCCTCACTGGAGACCCCTGAAACCCGTCATTGTGGGGGGTCCTTACCCTTTGTATGATGGAATATTCCCGGGACCCCTCACTGGAAACCCCTGAACCCCATCATTGTGGGGGGGGGGTCCTTACCCTTTGTATGATGGAATATTCGCGGGACCCCTCACTGGAGACCCCTGGACCCCGTCATTGTGGGGGGGGTCCTTACCCTTTGTATGATGGAATATTCCCGGGACCCCTCACTGGAGACCCCTGGACCCCGTCATTGGGGGGATCCTTACCCTTTGTATGATGGAATATTCTCGGGACCCCTCACTGGAAACCCCTGAACCCCATCATTGTGGGGGATCCTTACCCTTTGTATGATGGAATATTCTCGGGACCCCTCACTGGAAACCCCTGAACCCCATCATTGTGGGGGGGGTCCTTACCCTTTGTATGATGGAATATTCGCGGGACCCCTCACTGGAGACACCCCTGAACCCCATCATTGGGGGGGATCCTTACCCTTTGCATGATGGAATATTCCCAGGACCCCTCACTGGAGACACCGGAACCCTCTTCATTGTGGGGGGGATCCTTACCCTTTGTATGATGGAATATTCCCGGGACCCCTCACTGGAGACACCTGAACCCCGTCATTGTGGGGGGGTCTTTACCCTTAGTATGATGGAATATTCCCAGGACCCCTCACTGGAGACACCTGAACCCCGTCATTGTGGGGGGGGTCCTTACCCTTTGTATGATGGAATATTCCCGGGACCCCTCACTGGAGACCCCTGAAACCCATCATTGTGGGGGGGGTCCTTACCCTTTGTATGATGGAATATTCCCGGGACCCCTCACTGGAGACCCCTGAACCCCGTCATTGGGGGGATCCTTACCCTTTGTATGATGGAATATTCCCGGGACCCCTCACTGGAGACACCTGAACCCCGTCATTGTGGGGGGTCCTCATCCTTTGAACCATACACTGTACATATAGAAGACCCTTCTGATGAATCTCCCCCCCCAGGCACCGTAGCGGCGGTCTTCGCGTCTAATAATAGTCGCCTCCTCCCCCCTCCCTAGGAAGGCGCTATTCTGGGGTGCGGGGGTCAGACAATCGCCCCGTCATTGGTCCTGGAGGCAGGAGGGACCCCGGGGAGCCCCCGTAAATCTGACAGCAATTTGCAGAAATTGGGGGTGTCTAATGTTTGCTTTCAGGAGGATAATGAGCCGTATTAGTCTGTGAGGTTAATGGGGGCTTCTTGGGGGCCCATGGGCCCCGCTCCCAGCTGCGTGTCACTCAACCCAACACACCCGGACCAGACCGCTGATTACTAATTGGGTGATAATTGGAGGTTTAATAACTGCAATCTAGGGAAAAATACGAGGACCCGACACATGCTAGTGGGGGAGGGGAGGGGGGTGGTAAATGTTCATTTAAATCTGACCTTCAGCCCCCCCTCCCCCCCACAGTTGTACCGACTCCTCTGATATTTCCTGGCTGGAGGACGTCCAGCATCATCTAGTTCTTTTTGACCTATTTAACATCGTTGGAGGAACCGTTGAGACCCTCAGGGAACCCCTCCTACTAATGACCATATCTACAGATCCTGGTATATCGGTGTGGTGGTCACAGGAAGAACATCCCTCACATTGGTGGTCACAGGAAGAATGTCCCTTACATTGGGGGTCACAGGAAGAAAGTCCCTCACATTGGGGGTCACAGGAAGAATGTCCCTCACATTGGGGGTAACAGGAAGAACGTCCCTCACATTGGGGGTCACAGGAAGAATGTCCCTTACATTGGTGGTCAGTGGGAAGAATGTCCCTTACATTGGTGGTCAGTGGGAAGAATGTCCCTTACATTGGGGGTCAGTGGGAAGAATGTCCCTTACATTGGGGGTCAGTGGGAAGAATGTCCCTTACATTGGGGGTCACAGGAAGAATGTCCCTCACATTGGGGGTCACAGGAAGAATGTCCCTTACATTGGGGGTCAGTGGGAAGAATGTCCCTTACATTGGGGGTCACAGGAAGAATGTCCCTCACATTGGGGGTCACAGGAAGAATGTCCCTTACATTGGGGGTCACAGGAAGAATGTCCCTCACATTGGGGGTCACAGGAAGAATGTCCCTTACATTGGTGGTCAGTGGGAAGAATGTCCCTTACATTGGGGGTCAGTGGGAAGAATGTCCCTCACATTGGGGGTCACAGGAAGAATGTCCCTCACATTGGGGGTCACAGAAAGAATGTCCCTTACATTGGTGATGTCAGTGGGAAGAATGTCCCTTACATTGGGGGTCAGTGGGAAGAATGTCCCTTACATTGGGGGTCAGTGGGAAGAATGTCCCTTACATTGGGGGTCAGTGGGAAGAATGTCCCTTACATTGGGGGTCAGTGGGAAGAATGTCCCTTACATTGGGGGTCAGTGGGAAGAATGTCCCTTACATTGGGGGTCAGTGGGGAAGAATGTCCCTTACATTGGGGGTCAGTGGGAAGAATGTCCCTTACATTGGTGGTCAGTGGGAAGAATGTCCCTTACATTGGTGGTCAGTGGGAAGAATGTCCCTTACATTGGAGGTCAGTGGGAAGAATGTCCCTTACATTGGTGGTCAGTGGGAAGAATGTCCCTTACATTGGTGGTCAGTGGGAAGAATGTCCCTTACATTGGGGGTCAGTGGGAAGAATGTCCCTTACATTGGTGGTCAGTGGGAAGAATGTCCCTTACATTGGGGGTCACAGAAAGAAATGTCCCTTACATTGGTGATCAGTGGGAAGAATGTCCCTTACATTGGTGGTCAGTGGGAAGAATGTCCCTTACATTGGTGGTCAGTGGGAAGAATGTCCCTTACATTGGTGGTCAGTGGGAAGAATTTCCTTACATTGGGGTCAGTGGGAAGAAGAATGTCCCTTACATTGGTGATCAGTGGGAAGAATGTCCCTTACATTGGGGGTCAGTGGGAAGAATGTCCCTTACATTGGAGGTCAGTGGGAAGAATGTCCCTTACATTGGAGGTCAGTGGGAAGAATGTCCCTTACATTGGGGGTCAGTGGGAAGAATGTCCCTTACATTGGGGGGTCAGTGGGAAGAATGTCCCTTACATTGGGGGTCAGTGGGAAGAATGTCCCTTACATTGGGGGTCAGTGGGAAGAATGTCCCTTACATTGGGGGGTCAGTGGGAAGAATGTTCCTTACATTGGGGGTCACAGGAAGAATGTCCCTTCACATTGGGGGTCAGTGGGAAGAATGTCCCTTACATTGGGGGTCAGTGGGAAGAATGTCCCTTACATTGGGGGTCAGTGGGAAGAATGTCCCTTACATTGGGGGTCGGTGGGAAGAATGTCCCTTACATTGGGTGTCAGTGGGAAGAATGTCCCTTACATTGGTGGTCACAGGAAGAATGTCCCTTACATTGGTGGTCAGTGGGAAGAATGTCCCTTACATTGGGGGTCAGTGGGAAGAATGTCCCTTACATTGGTGGTCAGTGGGAAAAATGTCCCTTACATTGGTGGTCAGTGGGAAGAATGTCCCTTACATTGGTGGTCAATGGCGAGAATGTCCCTTACATTGGGGGTTACAGGAAGAATGTCCCTTACATTGGTCGTTAGTGGGAAGAATGTCCCTTACATTGGTGATCAGTGGGAAGAACGTCCCTTACATTGGGGGTCAGTGGGAAGAATGTCCCTTACATTGGTGGTCAGTGGGAAGAATGTCCCTCACATTGGGGGTCAGTGGGAAGAATGTCCCTTACATTGGGGGTCAGTGGGAAGAATGTCCCTTACATTGGAGGTCAGTGGGAAGAATGTTCCTTACATTGGAGGTCAGTGGGAAGAATGTCCCTTACATTGGTGGTCAGTGGGAAGAATGTTCCTTACATTGGGGGTCAGTGGGAAGAATGTCCCTCACATTGGTGGTCACAGGAAGAATGTCCCTCACATTGGTGGACAGTGGGAAGAATGTCCCTTACATTGGTGGTCACAGGAAGAATGTCCCTCACATTGGGGGTCAGTAGGAAGAATGTCCCTTACATTGGGGGTCAGTGGGAAGAATGTCCCTTACATTGGGGGTCAGTAGGAAGAATGTCCCTTACATTGGAGGTCAGTGGGAAGAATGTCCCTTACATTGGGGGTCACAGGAAGAATGTCCCTCACATTGGTGGTCACAGGAAGAATGTCCCTTACATTGGTGGTCAGTGGGAAGAATGTCCCTTACATTGGGGGATCAGTGGGAAGAATGTCCCTTACATTGGGGGTCAGTGGGAAGAATGTCCCTTACATTGGTGGTCAGTGGGAAGAATGTCCCTTACATTGGGGGTCAGTGGGAAGAATGTCCCTTACATTGGGGGTCAGTGGGAAGAATGTCCCTTACATTGGGGGTCAGTGAGAAGAATGTTCCTTACATTGGGGGTCAGTGGGAAGAATGTCCCTTACATTGGTGATCAGTGGGAAGAATGTCCCTTACATTGGGGGTCAGTGGGAAGAATGTCCCTTACATTGGGGGGTCAGAGGGAAGAATGTCCCTTACATTGGTGGTCAATGGGAAGAATGCTCCTTACATTGGGGATCAGTGGGAAGAATGTCCCTTACATTGGGGGTCAGTGGGAAGAATGTCCCTTACATTGGGGGTCAGTGGGAAGAATGTCCCTTACATTGGGGGTCAGTGGGAAGAATGTCCCTTACATTGGGGATCAGTGGGAAGAATGTCCCTTACATTGATGGTCAGTGGGAAGAATGTCCCTTACATTGGGGGTCAGTGTGAAGAATGTCCCTTACATTGGGGGTCAGTGTGAAGAATGTCCCTTACGTTGGTGGTCAGTGGGAAGAATGTCCCTTACATTGGTGGTCAGTGGGACCTCTATTATGCTGACTGAGGTCTGAAGATCTAGTAAGGTGAATTTTTTTATTCTTGGTAGAGGACAAGGAGAACTCTCCTGTGCCCCGAGGTTGAGAAAGTCCTCATTTGCTACAAAATTGGTCAAACGTGTTCATTTTGGATGAGTATATACATCGGTCTTTGGTGTCAAGAGTAAGGAAGGAGCACGTTGTTTCATAGATTTTAAATTAAAAAGTTAACGGCAAACTATTTCAGATGAGGTCAACCATTAACTTTAGGAGGACATTCCTTTTCACAATGGTGGAGGAGCTTCTCAAGCGCTACAAAATTGGTCAAATTTGCACAAGGTGACTTACCAAGGCGCCTATTGACCTCTATTCTGCAGATTGAAGTCTGAAGATCTGGTAAGTGTGTATTTGTTTATCTTGGTAGGGGACAAGGAGAACTCTTCTGTGCTCTGAGGTGGAGGAGCTTCTCAAACTCTACAAAACTGTCCAAATTTGCACAGGGAAACTTAGGCACTTATTGAACTCTCGTATGCAGATTAAGGTCTGAATATCTGGTAAGTTTTCAACAATTTATTCCTGAGATGAGGTCAACTACTAACTTTAGGAGGACCTTCCTGTTCACCATGGTGGAGGAGCTTCTCAAGCACTACAAAATTGAGGTCTGAAGATCTGGTAAGAGTAAGGAAGGAGCACGTTGTCTCATAGATTTTGAATTAAAACGTCAACGGCAAACTATTTCAGATGAAGTCAACCACTAATTTTAGGAGGACATTCCTGTTCACGATGGTGGAGGAGCTTCTCAAGCTCTACAAAATTGGTCAAATTTGCACAAGGTAACTTACCAAGGCGCTTACCAAGGAAACTATTTATTCCTGAGATGAGGTCAACTACTAACTTTAGGAGGACATTCCGGTTCACCATGGTGGAGGAGCTTCTCAAGCTCTACAAAATTGAGGTCTGAAGATCTGGTAAGTCTGTATTTGTTTATCTTGGTAGGGGACAAGCAGAACTCTTCTGTGCTCTGAGGTGGAGGAGCTTCTCAAACGCTACAAAACTGTCCAAATTTGCACAGGGAAACTTAGGCACTTATTGAACTCTCGTATGCAGATTAAGGTCTGAATATCTGGTAACTTTGCATCTATTTATTCCTGGTGGAGGACACAGAAAACTATTTCAGATGAGGTCAACTACTAACTTTAGGAGGACCTTCCTGTTCACCATGGTGGAGGAGCTTCTCAAGCTCTACAAAATTGAGGTCTGAAGATCTGGTAAGTCTGTATTTGTTTATTCTTGGTAGTGGACAAGGAGAACTCTTCTGTGCACCAAGGTGGAGGAGCTTCTCAAACTCTTGAAAACTGTCCAAATATGCACAGGGAAACTTAGGCACTTATTGAACTCTGGTATGCAGATTAAGGTCTTAATATCTGGTAAGTGTGCAACTATTTATTCCTGAGACGAGGTCAACTACTAACTTTAGGAGGACCTTCCTGTTCACCATGGTGGAGGAGCTTCTCAAGCTCTACAAAATTGAGGTCTGAAGATCTGGTAAGAGTAAGGAAGGAGCACGTTGTCTCATAGATTTTGAATTAAAAAGTTAACAGCAAACTATTTCAGATGAGGTCAACCACTAACTTTAGGAGGACATTCCTGTTCACCATGGTGGAGGAGCTTCTCAAGCTCTACAAGATTGGTAAAATTTGCACAAGGTAACTTACCAAGGCGCTTACCAAGGCAACTATTTATTCCTGAGATGAGGTCAACTACCAACTTTAGGAGGACATTCCTGTTCACGATGGTGGAGGAGCTTCTCAAGCTCTACAAAATTGGTCAAATTTGCACAAGGTAACTTACCAAGGCGCTTACCAAGGCAACTATTTATTCCTGAGATGAGGTCAACTACTAACTTTAGGAGGACCTTCCTGTTCACCATGGTGGAGGAGCTTCTCAAGCTCTACAAAATTGAGGTCTGAAGATCTGGTAAGTCTGTATTTGTTTATCTTGGTAGGAGACAAGCAGAACTCTTCTGTGCTCTGAGGTGGAGGAGCTTCTCAAACTCTACAAAACTGTCCAAATTTGCACAGGGAAACTTAGGCACTTATTGAACTCTTGTATGCAGATTAAGGTCTTAATATCTGGTAAGTGTGCAACTATTTATTCCTGAGATGAGGTCAACTACTAACTTTAGAAGGACATTCCTGTTCACCATGGTGGAGGAGCTTTTCAAGCGCTAGAAAATTGAGGTCTGAAGATCTGGTAAGTCTGTATTTGTTTATTCTTGGTAGGGGACAAGAAGAACTGTTCTGTGCTCTGAGGTGGAGGAGTTTCTCAAACTCTACAAAACTGTCCAAATTTTCACAGGGAAACTTAGGCACTTCTTGAACTCTCGTATGCAGATTAAGGTCTGAATACTGTATCTGGTAAGTTTGCAACTATTTATTCCTGAAATGAGGTCAACTACTAACTTTAGGAGGACATTCCTGTTCACCATGGTGGTGGAGCTTCTCAAGCTCTTCAAAATTGAGGTCTGAAGATATTTTAAGAGTAAGGAAGGAGCACGTTGTCTCATAGATTTTGAATTAAAAAGTTAACGGCAAACTATTTCAGATGAGGTCAACCATTAACTTTAGGAGGACATTCCTGTTCACCATGGTGGAGGAGCTTCTCAAGCTCTACAAAATTGAGGTCTGAAGATATGGTAAGTCTGTATTTGTTTATTCTTGGTAGGGGACAAGGAGAACTCTTCTGTGCACCGAGGTGGAGGAGCTTCTCAAACACTACAAAACTTTCCACATTTGCACAGGAAGACTTAGGCACTTATTGAACTCTCGTATGCAGATTAAGGTCTGAATATCTGGTAAGTTTGCAACTATTTATTCCTGAGATGAGGTCAACTTCTAACTTTAGGAGGACATTCCTGTTCACCATGGTGGAGGAGCTTCTCAAGCTCTACAAAATTGAGGTCTGAAGATCTGGTAAGTGTAAGGAAGGAGCACGTTGTCTCATAGATTTTGAATTAAAAAGTTAACGGCAAATTTATTTCAGATGATGTCAACCACTAACTTTAGGAGGATATTCCTGTTCACCATGGTGGAGGAGCTTCTCAAGCTCTACAAAATTGAGGTCTGAAGATCTGGTAAGTCTGTATTTGTTTATTCTTGGTAGGGGACAAGGAGAACTCTTCTGTGCACCGAGGTGGAGGAGCTTCTCAAGGGCTACAAAATTGAGGTCTGAAGATATGGTAAGTCTGTATTTGTTTATTCTTGGAGGACACTGAAAACATTTCTGGTGGAGGAGGTTCTCAAGCATCACAAACTTGGTCAAATTTGTTACTTTTGGAATACATTTTAATAAAAGATTGTAGTGATGGAGCAAAAAAAAAAAAAAAAAATGGTGATGGGGAATCTTTCAATGGGGACACCCATTCTGGTGACAACTGCCCAAGAGGGAATATCCCTCTTGGCTTCCCGTTGTGTCTCCGGCACAGAAAGTGAAGGGAATCTCACCAGCAGGGCACAGATAATAGGAAAAAAGTTTTGGCTTTCTGTACGCTTTAAGAGCTGCCAGCCTTTGTTGCTCCGGCCAAAACTTTCTACTACAACAAATTTCGACAGTAAAATCCATTCTCAGCAGAGCAATGCTAAAGAGATTTGTAATAATAATCTGAGCCGTTTGGAGCGACTTCGACCATCCGATACGTGCTGAGGCCCGGCGGGGTTAATCGAGCGCACCCCCGCTGCCCAGGGCACTGGGGTGGATGTCCATATATATATATATATATATATATAAGTGATGGCGCTGTCCCTCTTTCTGGCTCGGGCTTTTCCTATAACTGCAGGTGTCAGGCTGCCAATATAGTAACAAGTTTTATAGCGAGCAATAAAGTCTGTGTTTGTACAGGCACCGCGAGCTCCCATTAACATATCCCAGGGAAATCCGCCAGCTTACAACAGGCCAAGGCCCGAGGCTGGGGCTGCATTGTATAGTTTGAGCGAATATCAGCAGGCACCTCATCCAAATAAACTTTAGAATGTTCCTGAGTCTAACTATGACATTTCTGAACAAACACGTCTTAGCGCAACGCACGGCTGGAACGGGTTTAGGTTGAATCTGGGACGTATATAAACCTGAACCCAATCCTCCGGGCCTGTTCAACCAGCTGGCTTTCGTAATGACTAACGAAGGAGGCACTTAATGTGTGGAACCTTCAATTTACATTTATATATAGAATTAATGATACATTTCATATATGGCCTACAAAAAATGTTCCTATACCTGAGTGTGAGATATGTGGCTTGGCTTAAAGGATAAGTGGGCTTTAAAACAAACTTAGCAATAGTGGTGTGACCCTCCTGCGCTCCAAATATTGTGTTTAAACAATTAAACAAATTAAATATATGAACCCCAAACAGCTGCTAGCATTAAATCATATACCAGTGATCAAGTGAATATAAACCATATAAATGCTGCGCTACATTCAAATTAAAGTGAATGTGGAATCCAATGACACAAATCTAATATAGTGACAATAATATGGAAATAAATATATAAGTGCTTGATAATAACAAAAATCATCAAATCAAACACCCAAAAGATGAAAAAACAAAAACTTAAATCTATACGCATGTGCATAAATTACACATACATATAGTTACATCACACGTGCAAATGTGAAGTGAAATAATATTTACTTATTAAGCGCAAAAAAAGTCCAATATATAAATGTTAAAGGTGAAAAAATGTAAACGGTGTTTCCAATAATATTATAAAGTGACCACAGGTGAAACAAATCATGCAGGTATCTGAGTGTAGATAGAACTTGTGAATCCAACCACCTTCTGGATTAGCCTCTCACCTCATCACTTCGACCCTTGCGGATCAAAGAGCAATAATGGATCCCTCTCACAGATCCTCCAGGCACCACAGCACTCCAGAAACGCTTTTCAGAATTCAATATTCCCACTTAAACTCTTCTCCAGGTATAGATGAAATATCAATCTCTAGGCGCACTCA